CTCAACATCCCTGATAGGATACAGTAGCCCGCCCCCGTTATTCAGGGTAGATACATTCTAAGACCCCCCAGTGGATGCTTGAAACCACAGATAGATTTGAATCATGAATCTACTATTTCTTCCTCTCTGTTCCGACTACAGATCATACCAACTTAAGCCTACCATTTTTTTTTCTTGCCTCCTAAAGTCAAGAACTTTCACCTTTTCACTTAAAAAGAAGCACTTTATGGCTTCTTTTTGACATGTGGGACATATCAGAGTGACAGTAGGACTCTTCTTGCTCCTTAGGACCATTACATAAAATAAGGGTTACTTGAACACAAGAACTGACCATTTATCCGATAGTCAAGATGACTACCAAGTGCCAGGTGGGTAGCATATACAGCACGGACACACTGGACAAAGCATGATTCTTATTCCCGGTGAGATTTCACCACGATGCTCAGAACAAGGTGGAATTTAAAATTCATGAATTGTTTATTTCTGGAATTCTCCACTTAACAGTTTCAGGACATGGCAAACCTCAAGTAATTGAGACTTGGGAAAGCCAAACAGAGGATAAGGGGGACTCCTATAATTCTTCTCACAGATGACGTGACTGAGGTCCAACTGGTTAAGAATCACGTCCAGAGCAAGATGTCCTAGCAGGTCTGGGCCCCGAACCCAATCTAGCCATCTCGAGGGAAGCAGGGTTGTTCCCCACCCCTACTTTCCAGATGGAGAGGCTGAGGCTCCCAGAGAGGCAAAGCCACTTGCCCAAAGCTACACAGCATCCGCCCCTTCACGTCCTGTGACTTGCCACCAGCCATACAGAAAGTCGGGCCAGAGCGTGCCCCGTGGAGCTCAGAGCCCCCCACTGCATCGCATCGCCCAGGAGGACCTGCGCGCCTCGGGTGTCCCCAGCACAGCTGGTGTCAGGGGCCACCCTCCGAGAGCCCCGCTCCCCCTCAGCGCCCAAGTCTGCGTTCCAGGGGGAGAAGGCAGGGCGGCCTGCGCCCCGCCCCGGAGCTTCCTGACACTTGTTAATATCCACCGCTTCTGTGCGCCAGGGTCTGGTTCGCATTAGCACCCCAGGCCTCCGTCGGATGCCGGGCTTGGGCTCCATCCAAAAAGTGTCCGACTCCAGGGGGCCCTTCTCACTACTTATCTAACACGGAACATCAAATGGTTTGATCTGCCAATTAGGCTCCCCAGGAGCTGCTAACCGAAAGCAGATGGCGGATACCGTCTTGCGGGGATGTGTGCTTCCCTCCCCTTCCCCACCCCGACACCTCCAGGTGGCCTCCTGAGCAGGGATGGGGCCCGCCAGGATGAGCCTCACCACCTCTCCCCACCGGAGGGCGCTGCGGCTTCTGATGAGGAGGGAGCCTGGGGGCCATGGCCCAGGGGTCCCCGATCCCCTGCATCTGCCTGTCCTTCCCTCGGGCAGGCCAGCCTGGGAGGCCCGGAAAGATCAGGTCAGCACCGGCCACTGGGTGGGGTCCCAGGCCTGCACGGAGGCAGAGGGGTGGTGTGAATGACCTCAGCATGTCCTTCCTGACTCTTCAATGGCCCCAACCCACCACCCAACAGCCGTCCCAAGTAGCGATCCCCAAACCCCGTTTCCCTCTCCTCCCCCATCCCACCCCAGAGCCGGTGGTCCCCAGGAAACATTCATGTGGGCCCAGCCCCAAGGCCACCACCGGCCAACACCAGGCCCCGTCCCGGCTCACCTGGGCCTGGTGACAACTCTCCAGGGTCTCCTGGGCTCCTTGGCCAGACCCTTGAGCCCTGACCCACACCCCGTCTCCTCTCGAAGCCCCAGTTCCTTGATTTGTTGGGCACTAACTGGTGCCGGCTTCCTGTGGGCGCCTCACAGTTTGGGTTCCACTTCAGGAGAATGTCTGGTGCCTGGAGCTGTCCTCAGTGAGCCTCCCGTCCCGGGAGGAGAACAAGAAAGGCTTGAGGCCCGAGCCCTGGGGCTTTAGAAGCCGTGTGTCCCCTAAGGTCAGCGGGGTTCCAGGGTTCTCTCCTCCAGGGGTGGTCCACGAGAAAGGACAGAGAAATGAGGTCATTATCGACTTTTTTCAAAAAAAAAAAAAATTAAACCAAAGCGTCAGAAGCAAGAAAAGAGAATTAAGAGATTAAAGCTCCCTGAGCCGCTGACAATCTGGTCCCAAGGGCGAGGGGGACGGGACACAGCCACCTCCAGGACCAGAATATATGAAGCTGCCCCCCAAATCTCTGAACCCCCCCCCAGGAAGGAAGTGGGGGTTCCAGAAAGGCCCCAGCAGGCCCTCCTTGGGGTCTGAGAGACACGTCTAGAAAACGGGTAAAGCCACCTCCTGGGCCTGTGAGGGCGTGCCCACAGATGATTGGCAGGTGGGTTAGCCAACGGGGTGGGAAGACCCATCCTGAAGGTGAGCAGCCGAGAGGGGCTGAATGGCACATGTCCAGGACGCTGGAAGTGGCCACCCAGAGGGGACGAGGCTCAGATGCCCAGGGCTGGGCTCCCCCCTCAGACCCGGCTGTTCTTCCTCTCTGGGCTCTCACATCCGGCCACTCCTGGGGCTACCTGGCTTCCTCCCACCCACCTCTCCTCCGGCTTCCCACACCTGCCCCTCCTCCGCACCCCAACTTCCCACACCTGCCCCTCCTCCGCACCCCAACTTCCCACACCTGCCCCTCCTCCGCACCCCAACTTCCCACACCTGCCCCTCCTCTGCACCCCAACTTCCCACTCTTCTCCGTCCTTGACGTCTCAATGCATCTCCCCCAAGTCCTCCCTGACCACTGCACCCACCAACCACCTCCCTACCATCTGAGTTCCCTCCCACAGTACAGTCCCTGGCTAGGGACTTCCCATCATGCACAGGGGTTCCTGGACCGGCCAGGCAGGGTCATCCAGTCACTTCATCAGGATGAGGGCTCTGACTGTGGCTCCTGGGCAGGAGTGACCCTGGGTGAGCTCCACAACCTCTTTGAGACCTTTTGTTCCCACCGTCTATAAAATAGGGACCATGACAGTACCTGGCCAGTAGTCTGGTGGGGAATAGTGGATAAAGTAGTAAAATTCTTAGGAGGGAACCTGGCACTCAATGTCACGATGGCATGACTGTATGTACCACTGCAGCCAGCCCCTGCATCCGAGGTATGTGGTATTTGCATTGAGCTAGTCCCACAGGGGACCCAGAGGTGATTTACAGTTTATGGGGAGGCGTGTGTAGGTGACGCAAATACCACCCACTTTACATGAGGCTTTGAGCATCCTCAGATTTGGGTATCCCTGGGAGGCCCTGAAACCAAACCCCTGTGAAGACCAGGAGATATACATCTGTTTCATATTTCTAAACACCTCTTGGGACCTGGCACCCAAAGCGGTACTGATTTCAGGGGGCAGTGGTGAGGGAAGCGGTTGGGAGCGGAAGGAGAGGGTGTCAAAGGTGATCTGCCATCAGGATTCATGGCGCACCTGTTCTGGTTCCAGAAGGAGGCCCAGGGAAGAAAAATAGGCGCCACCCCACCATAATGAAGAAGTGACTTTAAAAAGGAAGGCCACTCCCCCCCCCGCATGCCAGTGACTCTAGCCAAGACCCCACCACCCACTGCCTTGAAGGGTGACAGAGGTGAACCAGGGACCAGGAGGAGGCAGCCCGCCCTCCCCGCTGTCAATCAGCTCATGGAAGCTGTCTCTGCTGGGGTCAGTGCTGGGGTCAGTGCTGGGGTCAGTGCTGGGGTCAGTGCTGGACGAGCTGCGTCACTCCCGGGCAGTGCTGGGAAGGCCCACAGGGCACGCGGATGGGTGCTGCAGGGAGCTCATTCCTCTCCTGAGCAAGGAACCCCTGGTCCCGGCCCTCCCGCCTGCAGGCTGAGTGCCCTGGGCCTGTCACTCCCCGCTCTGGGCAGCACTAGAGGTCTGTGAGCCGAGAGGGGCCAGGCCTGACCCCTGCATCTGGGGAAGCCAGGGCCCCTCAGCTGCTGGAGTCCACCAGGGAGGGTGCTCCCTTGGGCAGACCCACGCCCCACGGCACAGCTTCTCCAGGATGCAGCATGCAGACGTGGCCAGGCCACAGCACGCTGGCTCTGTGGCTGCCCAAGGCCTGTGTCCCCCAGGCAGGGCTGTGGGGACACTGGAGGAGGCTGACTTCCTACAGAGGCCAGCATCGCAGGCCGGGCATGGCGCCCCCTGGAATCTGGCCATGAGAAGGCCACACGCTCACGCTGTCCCTGATGGTGTCCGGGGTGGGTCAGTTTGCAGAAGGTGGCATTTATTGAGCCCCTACAACATTCTCTCTGACCCTCAATGTCCCTCTGAAGGAACGCGTGTTCCCATCTGGAGGTGAGGAAATGAAGGCTCGGGGACAGTAAGTAACTGACCCAAGGTCACGGAGCTGGGTGGGGGCAATGCTGGGACAGAAACCAAGCCCTCAGGGTCCACCTGTCCTTCCTCAGGAAACCTCTGAATACAGAAAGGAAGACCGTCTATTTTGCCAAGAGAGGTTTATTCCCAGACACATATGACGCACCCTCTGTGCCCAGCCGTCACCTAGAACATGGAGGCCCGGTCTGGGCTCTTTGGGAAAGGGATTGACGCCAGGCAGCACGTGGGAGCTCGCACCAACCCCAGCCCCCACCAGCACGGGAAGCTCAGCCTGGAGCATGACTGAGGGCAAGGGGCCGGAGCCTGCAGGTGCCCCATGCGACCACCAGGTGGCGGCAGTGAGCAGCTAAATCAGACTTTGTCCTTGGAGACCCATAGGTCACCTTGGGTCATGTCTACTAGAAGCAAGTGGCAGCGCCTGACAAATGAAACAGCTCAAGGGGAAGGGACAAAGTGTGGACATTTTTAGGCATCCGTCCCCAAGTGGGTAAGCACGGCCAGGCTGCAGAGAACCCCAGAGGAATGCCAAGTGACCGACCGGGGCGAGGTGGGAGTCCTCGGGCATGACAGCCACGTGTCCTTCTGGGACCCTGGCCCCGTCTCCCCTGGCCGAGGCCTCAGGGCAGACCCAGCGGCAGGGCTAGTCCTTCCGCATGGTGTAGCCCTGGATCATGCTGTTGAAGTAGGCCGTGGTGTTGCGCTCGGGGTAGAAGAGGATCAGGTAGCACTTGGGGCCGAAGTACCCCAGGGTGATGGCCAGGAAGTTGAGCACCGTGACCAAGACGTCCATGATGGTGACCAGCACGCCGTCGTGCACCGACATGAAGGTGCAGAGGGAGACGGAGGAGGTGAAGGAGAAGGTCATGCTGAGGGTGATGAACCTGGCCTCGTTGTAGTTGGTGGGCAGCTCCTTGCCCAGGTAGGCGAAGGTGAAGCCCACCACGGACAGCAGCAGGTCCATGCTGGTGTTGAAGAGCAGCCCGTTGCGGTAGTTGGGGTGGCAGGAGACGATCATGACGTGGTGATCCTCGGGGTCGGAGCGGACGGTGGGGTTGGTGCTGGTGCCCAGCATGTTGCCCACCACGATGGCCGTCTTGATGGCCGTCATGAGCGCCACGAAGGCGTAGGGCCCGTGGTAGCGGACCCAGAAGCCGTAGGCCCGCGGGAGGTGGCGGGCCATCTTGAAGACGTACATGATCTGGAAGGAGCGCGCGGTGATGCAGGAGATGCAGATGGTGAAGCAGAGGGTGAAGAAGGCCTGGCGGCACAGGCACCGGAAGACGGAGGGCGGCCCCACGTACACCCACGTCATGGCGTAGGCCAGCAGCAGCGGCCCCAGCATCAGGAAGCACATGGGGCCCCCGGCCGAGCGCACCATGGGCGTCGGGAAGTGCCACCAGAATATGACCAGGATGGCCAGCGTGCTGAGGAAGCCCAGGGCGGCCAGCAGGGCCACGAAGATGGTGGGTGCCTCGTGCCACTCGAGGAAGGTCAGCCGCCGCTGGAAGCAGGAGGTGTCTTTCCTGTCGGACCACGTGGAGCTCGGGCAGGGCTGGCACACATACTCATCTACAAAGACCCGCAACAGCCCCGTCAGTGCACCCCGCCTCCGGGCCCAGCCCCAGGCCAGAGACGGTCAGGGCTCCCGCAGGCAGGGTCCACGCCGGCCGTGGCTCTCCCAATGCCCCTGAAACTCCATTCCACAGACGAGGAAACTGAGGCCCAGCCAGGCTACGTGATTTTCCCAAAGCCACACAGCGCAGAAGTTAAAGAGGCAGGATTTGAACCCAGGTCCCCTGGACTCAGAGTCTTCCAACTGCAGTTCCTCCTGAGACCCCGCCTCTGGCGGGAGAGGGATCAACCTCCTCAAGGAACCCCCTCCGTCAGCACTGTCCCTAGCACTGACCGCTGTGGCAGGCACCTGGGCTGGAAGGCCCCGGAGAGAGAGCGGGTGAAAACCAGCCCCTGGGAGGGGAGGGCCCGAGGAAACTTCCAGGAGCTCGGAGGACGAAGCGAGCGCTTTATCAGGAAACGAAGCCTCTCAACTCGCCATCAGTGAAGCCAAAACACAAAAATGTTGGTGCTGGGCTCCGCACCACCCCGGGGGCACACAGTGGCCAGAGAGCGGTGGGCGGGTGCTGCCCAGGTCGGCCGACCGTCCTTCTGTGGGGACAGCCGCTCGCCCGCTCACCTGCGCACCATCAAGGGACACTCTCTGCCCGAAACCCCAGCCCGGGCTGTGTGCAGGGGGAGCACGGCCCTGCCGCTGGCCCCGGGCTGCAGGTCTCATGGCTTCTCCCCGCCAGGTAACCGGGAGCCACACGAGGACTCAGACGTGGTCCCTGGCCTTGGGACCCACACCTCCCCAGGGCAGGCCGGGGCCAGGCAGGTCTGTTGAAGGGTGGGACGGGGCAGGGGTGGGCCCGCGGCCTGGCGGGGGCTGTACCTGAGGTCTGGTTGCGGAAGGTGCCCGGGGGGCAGTCGATGCACTCGAAGCAGCAGGGGTGGATGCCCACCGGCCTCTTCCTCTGTCCCAGCTCACAGTTCTTAGAGCACATGGACGTGGGGACCTGGGGGGCGGGCGAGAGACCCTGAGACCCTTTCCCCACTCGGGGCCTCCCTACTCTCCCCCAAGAGTGGGGTGCTCAGGGGAGGGAAGCCTGGCCCTCTCTAGCAAAGGGACAGAGCCTGGAGTCGCCGTCAGACCTGTAGCTTTGAAGGACCCTCTTAGTTTTACCTGCCCGAGACCTAGCCCACCTTCCTCTGCTGAAAGCGTTCAACTGTTGAGACAGAGACTCTCTGAGGTTGCTGAGAGAACAGGAGGCAATCTGGAGCTGCTGGCAGCCATCTTGTCACAAGGGGGACAAAGTACCCAAGAGATGGAGAGAGTGAGACCCTGGATCCATCCTTGCCTGAAGCCCCACAGTCTACCTCTAGAGTTTTCAATTGTGTGAGCAATAAATGAACTCTTTGCTACCATGATCTTCTGTCACTTGCCACCAAGACTGTCAGTGAGCAAGTCCTTCCGGAGGGGCAGGGTTCAGGTAGAGAGAAACAGGTGGACAAGGACATGCATGTTGCCTTCATGGCTGAGATTTCTAGAACCCAGAAGAATCCAGCACAGAGGAGGCCTCCAAGCCTCACGCATCGAGAGGACGGATCGCGTGGAAAGGAAACGGTAAGAGCGACAAGGTAGGGGAGGGGGACATGACCAGGAAGCTGCAGATGGTGGCAGTCGGCGTGTGCGGGCCGAGCTGAGGTTTGGAGGGCCCGTTCTGAACTCATCTGTGACACACCAACAATGTGGGGCGGAGGGAGGCAACCAGGGTTGTCAAGTGTGCGAGCAGCCTGCTGGGTTTGGGCTGTGTGAAGATCATTCTGGTGACAAATTAGGAGAGTGTCACAGAGTTCACAGAAGAAGAGCCCAGGGCCCAGCAAGGGGAGTCGCCGTGGGACACAGGGCCACAGCGCCCCCAGCGCCCTCTCTGCTCAACTCTGAAGTCCGGGTCCTCTGAGGTCTCTGTCTTTGTGTTCCACCCCTCCTGTCCTCTCGTGCATGGACATCAGGTGACATTTCCAGATTTCTTGTCACCCTCCCTCACACGCCCATCATGAGAAGGGTCCCCTGGTCTCCTCCGCCGGGCACATGACCTCACACGTGCAGGGATGTGTACACCAACACGCACACGCACACATGCGCACGCACACACCCCTCACGCAGACCGACCACCGGGCAGCGTGGCCACGTATCCTCTGCCCACTCCTACACCGGACAGCCTCTTCATCCTCTCCCAGGTAACCAAATCCGTCCTGCCTCGTGCCCTGGAACCTCGTCCTGTGGTCATTCACTCACTCAGAAAGCCACTGGGCACCAGGAATAGAGCAGTGACTCACGGGGACAAAGATCCTGCTCCAAGGGGACTTAGGGGAACAGAGACCCAAACATGAAGTACGACAGACCACGGTTATAAATACCGTGAGGAAAATCAAAACCGTGCGAGGGGGTAGGGAACGTTGGGGAGCAGCCTGCGATGTCCAATGTGGCCGGTGACAAAGGCCTCACTGAGAGGGTGATCCTGGAGCAGAGACCTAAAGGGAGAGGGAGCACATCGGGGCGCAGGTTGCGGGAAGACTGAGCCCTAATCCCAGGATCCAGGGATGCTGCCCCTCCCCACACACACACCCATCAGGCTCCCGCACGGTAACCGAGGCTCACGCTGCCAAGACCTGCAAGGTGCCCAGACTCTACAAGAAAGAGTCTCTAGGGAAGCCCAAGGAACATGGGAGGAAGTTTTAGCTTACGACCCCACAGTACATAAAACAGTAAAAATAGCCTAACTCCTATCCAGAGAAGCCTAAAATCTCATACTAAAAATATTGACCTCAGTTCCTTTTACCTAGTCCATCACGTCTGGTTTTCACCAAAAAAAAAAAAAAAAAAAAAAAATCACAAGGCATGCTAACTGGCAAAAAAACAGTCTGAAAGGACAATACAGTCATTAGAACTAGACTCAGCTATGACCAATATTTGGAATTATCAGAGAAGGGATTTAAAACAACTGATTCATTGGCTAAGAGCTCTACTTGAAAAAGTGGGCAAAACAAGAAATGATGAGTAATGTTGGTAGAAAAATGGAAATTCTAGGGAAGAATGAAAATGTAATGCTAAAAACAAAAAGACCCAAGAAAAATAACAGAAATATAAAGTGCCTCGGTGGGCTCATCGGTGGGCTTGAAGATCTGCCAACGGAAATTTCCCAAACTGAAAAACAAAGAGAAAAACATAGGGGGGTGGGGACCAGAATATCTAAGAACCAGGGAACAATTACATCCCAGAAGGAGAAGAGGTAAATAGCACTTGAGGTAATAGTGGCTGAAATTTTTCCAAAATCAATGACAAACACGAAAGCACAGATTCAGGGAGCTCAAGAACACCAAGCAGAATAAATGCCGAAGGAACTACACTGAACACATTATATTCAAACTGCAATAACAAAGACAAAAATCTCAATGGAAGCCAGAGGGGAGAAATACCAACAAATATGGTTACTAGAAGAAAAGAAAGATATTTTATAATAATAAATACATAGTCCATCAAGAAGATACAGCAACTATAAAATAAACATGTATGCCCCCAACAAAAGAGCCCCAAAATACATAAAGCAAAAAAAAATCAGAATTTTGAAGGTATAGATGATTCAGCATATAATATTCAACAATAGGTAACTTCAGTATTCTACTTTCAGTAATTTACAGAACTAATCAGAAGATCAACAATGAAATAAAAAACTTAAACAGCACCATCAATCAACAAAACCCAAAGAACACCTATACCACTCTTCCTAAGAGCAGTGGGATACATAATCTTCTCAAGTGCATGTGGGACTTGTTTGTGTGGGTCAGCTACCAGTCACTGTAAGAAAATGCCTGAGAAAATCAATTTAGAAGTGAAAATATTTATTTTGGCCCAAGGGTTCATAGGTTTCAGTCTGTGGCCAGCCAACTCCATTATTTCTGGGCCTGGGGGTTGAGGGACTAGGACATCATGGCAGAATGATGTGGTGGGGCAAAGCAGCTCATTTACAGGGTGGCCAGGAAGCAAAAAGACAGGAGGGGGAGAGTCCAGAGACAAAGTATACCCTTCAAAGACCCTCAGTGACCCAGGTTTCCCCACTAGGCTCCACCTCCTAAGGTTTCCACCCGCTCCCAATAGAGTCACCAGCTGGGGACCAAGCCTTCCCCACATGAGTCTCTGGGTTCACCCCAGATCCAGCTATGACAGGTCTCTAGGACAGGCTGCATAGCAGGTCACCCAACAACTTTTAATAAATTTAAAAGGATTGAAATGGTGCCAGGTATGTTCTCCAACCACACCGTAATGAAATCAGAAATCAACAACAGAAGGGAATTCAGAGAATTCAAGACCTTAAGTCACACACCCCTAAACAACAGTGGGTCAAAGTGTTCACAAGGGAAATTAGAAAACACTGGGGCTAATGAAGATTCAAACACAATCCACCTTCACAAAAAGAGGACTATGGTCGGACGGAGTCCACTTACACGAGGTCACTGAGGTAGTCAAACTCAGAGACAGGGAGACAGGGGCGGGGGGGGGGGGGTCATTCCCTGGAAACCCAAAGCTGAGTTTCAGCTTTGCAAGATGAAAAATTTTAGAGGCTGTGGCCCAGACCCATCACTATATTGTACACTTAAAAATGGCGAAGATGATGAATCTGATATGTTTTTACCATAATGAATAATTTCAAAATTTTAAAACAGACCCGATCTTATGGGGAGCCGTGAAAATAATATTTGGAGTAGTTATAAAAATAAATATTCTTAAAAAGATGTCAAATCACTAACATTCGATAGCTTATCACGCAGTTAAATTTACTCTGCTGCTCTCTGTCACAGGTAGGCTGCGTGGAGCTTGGTCACCTTGACCTGGCAGGTCACCTGGTCCACGGTAGCCATCTTCATGCTATCAGGACCTGTGAGTAGGAAGTAGCCAGTACTTTTTTTTTGGTATCAGGGATTGAACTCAGGGCACTCGACCACCGAGCCCCATCCCCAGCCCTGTTTTGTATTTTATTTACAGTCAGGGCCTCATTTAGTTGCTTAGTGCCTCACTTTTGCTGAGGCTGGCTTTGAACTTGCGATCCTCCTGTCTCAGCCTCCCTAGCCGCTGGGATGACAGGTGCGCGCCACTGCTCCCGGCACCAGTATTTTTTATTTATGTCCAAGGAAGAGCTGCAGATGCCAGAGGGTAGAAGAACAACCCTGGAGCTTAGGGGACACCGCTTAGGGTCCCGTGGTCTGGGGAATGCCAGGCATCCTTTCTAAGGTGGGAGACTGGTCACCCCTGCCCGCCTGCCGTGACAGTAGGGCTCTTGGTGAACTGGTTGTTTGGATTTGGGGAATGCACAAATTGCTCTTGGAAATTAACCTGAAAAAGCTGTCCCCTCTTTACCAGGTGGTTCAGGGGCTCCCGGTTTCAAAGCACAGAAAGTCACATGCTCAGACAAAGAAAGCCCTGGCTCTGTGCCGGCCCCTTAGGGTGGGACACCAAGCAGATGTGACCATCTGAGTGTGGATGTGGGTGGACGAATCCAACCCCAGAGTCCTGCTGGGCTGTCCCGGACCCTGAGCACCTGACCCCAGGACGCCAGGGGACCATCAGCTTCTCAGGCCCGGGCCGGGGCAGGAACCACAGAAGGAGACGGCACGAGAGCCGCCGTGGGCACGAGGAAACGCCTCGTGTCGGTGCCTGGGACTCCCGTCCCGGCCTGGGCTCCCTCTCCCGTGGTCAGCCCAGCCCAACGCCGAACCGTCCCACAGCGGAGACCAACGTTGAGCCCCTCGGTGGCCCCGTTCCTGAGGCAGAGAACCGGCCACTCGCTTCCGACCCCGGCCACCCTCATCCAGGTGCTCAGACTGAAGGACGTCCTCCCGGGACCCCACACACCTCAGGGGAGGGGGTGGCGTGCCAAGGCTCAGCAGGCTGCCTTCAGGGTCACGCCTGTGGGTGGGGACACTGCCCTGGGGGGTGAGGTACACACTGAATGGCAGGCGTCCAGGGCCTCGGCACCGGGAGCTGGGTCTGGCGGGCCCTCGGGGAGGAGAGGGCACCCACCACTATTCTCAGGGGCCCATTGTGGACTTGGCACGTCGCCTCCGACCATCCTAGACGGTAGGAGGCAGGATCCCGGTCCCCACAGGGGATGCCCACCACAAGCACCGCAGGGCTCTGCGGTCACCGCCTGGCATTCTGGGGTCCTGTGCCAGTGAATGGCAAGCCCCAGAGAGGAGGAAGTATGAGGGCCCAGAGAGGGGTGGGTGGAAGGGTGGTCTGGAGTCCGGGGCACTCACGGGGAGCCTTGGGGTCACTGCTGAGGCGGAGCTGCAGCAGGTGCAGCCCACAAGGACGAGGCGGCTGAGGGCTCAGGCCCCTGATCTAGAAGCTGTGGCACTCACAGGGGACCCGGAAACACAGGGTCAACTCCCACTGACTCCTGGCCAGGGGACGGCAGCCAGCAGGTCAGTGCTGCCCTCTTCCGTCCCTTGGGGGCAAGGTGGCTCCTCAGAAGGACCTGGGAAGATGGAGCTCCACTGGCTCAGGCAGTGTCCAATGGAGGACCTCACTGGGACTGACCATCCCTCCTCCCTAGTGGACTCTCTCCATCCCCAAGGAGAATATTCTGGGCTCATCTCCTATCTCAGATTTCTGGGGAGACCCAGGCTCATACAGGGGGATGCAGGGGGCTCTGCCTGCTGTGTCCCCTTGAAGTCCTAACCCCCAGGACCTCAGTAGGTGGCCTGATGGGAAACAGGGTCACCGCAGACACGTTAAGTTAAGGACATATGAAAATAGGGTGGTCCGTAACCCTCTATGACTGGTGCCCTTCTACAGAGGGGACATTTGGACTCTGATGCACAGAGGAGAACAGGAGGCCTAGCGAAGGGGAAGAGGAGATGGAGGTAGAGCGCCCACAGGTCAGGTTTGCCAGAGAGTGACGGAAGCCTCCAGAAGCCAGGAGGGGCCCGCAGCCTCACGGCTCTGTGCAGGAACCAGCCCGCGACAGCTGAGCTCAGGCTTCCAGCCCAGGACTGTCTGCTTCCGCCCGGTGCTCGCTGCAGCCCCAGGGACCAACAAAGGTCTCCACCTGGCCCACTCCCTCACAGTCTCCCTCAAGAAGCTCAGGAACCAGCAGCCCCAGGCTCCTCTGGAACCAGGGAGAGGGACAAAGGATCTTGGAGATGCGTCTGGGTCCTGGGTCCCCTCCCCAACTCCACCAGGCTGCTCTCTATTTCACTGGGCCTGCAGAATTCTGAGGGTCTCTTTTCCAAAGAGGGTAAAACAAAATAGCTGCCGATGGGCAGTCACCAGACACAGTCCAGGGCCTGGCTACCAGGACAAAGCAGGAGACTTCAAGGACAGGCTGAGCAGAGTTCTATACACAGGGAAGCTCCACTGGGGACAAGCTGTGCGGGCTTAGGCAAGTCAAGCCACCTCTCTGTGCCTTCAGTGTCCTAACCCATAAATTGGGAAGATGCTAGCCTCCATCCCCTGGGGAATGACAGGAGAACTGAAGTCCTTGGCACACACAAGCTCAGTGAAGTTGACTTGGCAGAGGCCCCTGCATCCCCCGACCACCCAGTTCTCCATCAACAGGGAAGGACAGGACCCAGAATGTAGGACAAACAGAGATCCCCACCCCACCCACCCACGCTGACTTCCGGGTTCCCTCCTGATATAAAGGGCCCTGCCACCCCAGCACAAGCGCCCAGGCCACCCACTGGCGGTGCCCGGGGCTGACCGTGTTGTTGTGGGCGTGCCAGGAGATGTTGTGGATGTTCCTGAGCCGCCGCTCCGAGGGGTAGTAGGAGGCGACGCTCGGGAAGGGGTTCAGTGGCAGATCCCACCGCCACTGGATGACTTCCAGGCTCATGGGCACGTCCCCTTGCTGGTCAAAGAAGATCTGGTTGCCCAGGAGGGTGAAGTTGACCTTCCAGATCTTCTCGAGTAGCTGGAGCCATCAGAGGGAGGGAGAGAGAAGCGAAGCCAGCATCAGTCTGGTCAGTCCCGAGCGAGGGCCCCACCCCACCACCGCGGGCCCCACCCACCACCGCGGGCCCCACCCACCACCGCGGGCCCCACCCACCACCGCGGGCTCCACCCACCACCGCGGGCCCCACCCACCACCGCGGGCCCCACCCACCACCGCGGGCCCCACCCACCACCGCGGGCTCCACCCACAACGGCGGGCTCCACGTCTGTAAATCCGGGCAGGAAGTCCTCAGAAAGAAGCCATGTGGGAGGCTCTGGGGTCCGAGGGCTCTGGCCTTGGAATCAGGAACACTGGGGGGTCCAGACCGCAGCTCTACCACTTGCCCTGAGGTCCCACACCTGTCACTTAACCTCTCGGAACACAGTCTCCTCTTCTCCAGAGTGGGAGCAGCAGGGCCCTATGTCTTCTGGGCTCTGAGTTAATCTACACTAGGGGCATACAGAGTGCCTGAGAAACAGCACAGACTCTGGTCCCCGGGACCGTGTGTCCCTTTCCCCTGTCAGTCACCACGGTCATCCTCAAGAGGCCTAGAGCCCACTGTGTCTCTCACCCACAAAGGCCAGCAGGGGATTGCCCTGCTCCCTGGGTCCTCCCTGCCTCCCCACTCCTGGGGTCAGCTCTGGTTGTAGTCCCTACACGCCCCCAGAGACTGGTACTCACTGGAGCATGCTCTGAACGGGGCATCCTCTGGCCTGAATTCCAGTCCTGCCTCTTGTCTTCAATTTTCTGTGTGACTTTGAGCAAGTCACTGAACCTCTTTGGGCTGACCCCAAAACAGCCTCCAGCTGAGATAGCCTACCAATCTGTCTCCTAGATTTTCTCCTCCAGAGATGGGATGATCTGTTGGGCTACAGGGGATCCAGGGCCCCCTGCATCTCAGGGTCTGGCAGAGTGAAAGATCCCTAAGCCTAGTGTCCTCCCTTCCCTGCTCAGGGGGTGAGGTCCTGGCTCTGGACCTGTTGAAGAGCAGAGATGTCCAGTAGCAAAGCACAGCACGTGCCTCTCCGACTCCCCTCTCTCTGCTTCCCCGACCCTCGGTAAAACCTTCCCCAGGCCGGAAGGCTTCCTGGTGGGCTGTGTGGGTGTGAACGCAGAAAAACACAGACTGAGATTCCAGGTCAGAATCGAGGCCACGCAGAACAGGATGCAGGCCTCAGGGAGCCCGTGGGGAGCACAAGCCCTTCCCCAGGCCCTCAACCCCGGAGACCCTGCAGGGGACACTGAAGAGCCCCCTGCCCCTGGGACTCATTCCAGCAAATTCTGCCTGAATCTCCAAGGACAGACTGACTCTCTTGGATGGCAACTGATTTTAAAAGGAATTTTGCTTGGGTACCAGGAAGTACTCGGGTTCTATGCATCCGGAGCCTAGTGATGCCCATGGCCTCTCGCACCCTTTGCCCAGTGCCCCGGGAGTCAGGGCAGCCTGGCACGGAGGCAGGCAGCGCCCCGTGGCAGAGTGGAGTCTGTCCTGCCCCTCGGGCCTCACCCGCCAGGGGTAGACCACCTCCTTGGCACAGTGGGTCTGGGTGCAGCCCAGGAGGCTGTGCAGGGCGTGGGCCACGGCGTAGACGGCCGAGTACACGCTGTAGACCACGCGCTCCCCGGAGCTGGTGAGGATGGTGTTGAAGGACTCGGTGATGTTCAAGCAGGCGTCGCACTCCTGGTTGCAGGTGGCCCACGAGCTGGTCATGTTGGGGGGCGGCGGTCCGTCCTGAGCGCGGCGCACGCGGAACTCGCTGAAGCCCAGCATGGGCACCTTCTGGGTGGTGATGCCCAGGAAGGTGCCCGTGTGGCGCAGCTCGGTGAGGTTGTACAGGACAGGGTCGATGGCCCAGGACTCGGAGGCGATCCACACGGTGTTGGTGATGTTCCAGCGCAGCACATGGTCGAAGAAGACATGCAGGGCCAGCTCGGGGGAGAAGACCACCACCACGCTCGCCGTGGTCTGCTTCAGCTTGAGCAGGATGCGGCTCAGGTGCGCCTGCTGGTCGGGCGTCAGCGTCTGGTCGGGCTCGGGCATGGGCAGCACCTCCTGGAAGGCGATGCAGATGTCGCTGCCCTCCGCCAGCCGGTCGCCCAGCCGCTGGCTGTTGTCCCGGCCATAGTCGTCGTTGCTCACCAGCACCACGATCCAGTTCCAGCCAAAGTGGAGCATCAGCTGCACCATGGCTTCGATGTGGTGGCTGGCGCTGGGCACCGTGCGCAGCATGGCTGGGTAGCGCTGCTTGTCACGCAGCTGGTCAGAGATGGCGCTGTAGGTGATCTGCCGGAGAGAGGGGCCCTTGGCGTTAGTGAGGTGCCCACGGGGAAGGGGGTCCACGTGCCGTCATCACCTTGGTGACATTTGGGGAACACGTGCTGCAAGCCACTCCAGGGCTGGGCAGTAAATCAGCACTGTCAGGGTCCTGCAGTCACACGTAAGCACCTACTGTGTGCTGCACCGGCTAGGTACTTTACATCAGCAGCATCGTGATGATATCATTGCAATAGCACTTATTGAGCACCTACTGTGTGCCGCACCGGCTAGGTGACACTCACCATCATCATCACAGTCAGCAGCAGACAAACACTTGGCTAGGCATTGTTATCCTCCCCACCACCCAGCAACATTTCCTGAGCACCTACTGTGTGTCCCTGAGCACCTCTGTCATCAGCAGGCCCATCCGCAGGTCCCCTCTCTTCCCCTGACCTCCCGCCCCTCACTCTTGGCTTTGTCCCTGATGCGCCTTCTGTTCCCTTTGTGTTGCTGGTTTTTTTCCATCTGTCATCCTTCCCGGGGTGACCCCACACCGCCCGGTGGCGCCAAACACTGTTTCCATGCCAACACTCCTGGCATCCACCAGGCTCAGGCCTCTCAAAACCTCAAACCGACCTCTCAAACCTCATGCGCCCTGACTGCGCTGAAATCCCACGAGGGACCTGCCACCCCACCACCCCCAGGCCCAGTCGGGCCATCGTCATCCCCAGCCTGGACTTCCACCTGGTCCTCCCGCCTTCCCCCGCGCAGCCCGGCCGACCCCACGCACACAGGCCATCACACTGATGCTCGGTGCAGAGACCCTCAAGCCTCCTGGCGTCACTCGGGCAAAGCCAGAGGCCTTCAGTGGCCCCCAAGGGGCCCATCGTGTGCCCAGCCCCTGCCTCCCTGACTCCTCCTGGTCCCCCACGGGGTCCTGGTCGCCCAGTTCTGTCATCACAGTGGGGGGCTCGGGGTCTGGGCAGCTGCTTGCTCCTGAAGGTGCTTCTCCCAGGTGCCCTGAGCCCCTCCCTGTTGAAGCCTGCACCCTCCCTGCACCCCGTCTCCCCCTCTGCTCCTGCCTCCCGCCCCACTGCTCAACTTCGCCCTTTATCTGCTGAGCGACCCGCCTTGGAACATTCTGGAGCACTGATTATTTCACCTGTTGTCTCCCTCCCACTAGAAGACAGACCCCAAGAGGACAGTGGCCTTTGCTTCTTTGGTTCCCGGCTGTATCCCCAGCACCTGCCACAGTAGGCGCTCAAGAAATAGTTGTTCCCTGAATGACAGGCTGGCTTCAGTCCTGGACTAGATGCTTCCCATACAAACAGGAACACTTCCTGAGCACTACTAAGTGTCAAGACCCTGAGTGAGGTGCTTTTACTTGGTAAAAACTACAGCAACGATTCCAGTTGTTGTAACAACCTACTGAGTGCCAAGCCTTATGCCAGCTGCTCTCTGATGAGTAGACACTCTAAACCAGTACTGGGCCGGGCACTCTCGATCATGATGACGATGACAGTCTTAACAGTGGTTACGCTAATGGCACTTTCCTGAGGACCCCCCATGGGGCAGATCTTGTGCTGGGCACTTTCACAGAACATAGAGCACCTTCCGAGCGTTCATTCCTGAGCTCTACTTAATAACCATAGCATTACTGACCACCTACTATGCTCTGGAAACTCTTGCGGGTCAGACTTCACTCTGCAGACAGGCCTCTCACTTTACAAGTGGGGAAACAGGCTCAGGGGTCTGCCCAGGCCGCACAGCAGCTGCGACTCGGCCAAGATGCACCCCAGGCCCGTCGGCCTCCAAAGCCTGGGCGGCCTCCCCCAGGCTGGGTCTGGTGGGGGAGGGTTCGGAGCCTCCTGGGTCACCAGCTTTCTGTCCCCTGCCCCGCCCCTTCCCCCAGGGTCCGGCAGCCTCACCTGTGGGAGGAGAAAGAGGGAGAGGAAGTTGGCCACCGTCTTGGTGGACTCGGAGTTGTCAGGGCCAATGACAGCCACCACGCGGGGCACGTAGTCGCTGTAGTCCTCGAGGATGGGCAGGAAGTAGTCCTCCTGTGCCAGGAAGTAGAGCACGGGCTGCACGTTGTTGGAGAGGTAGCAGATGTCCACTATCTCGTAGCCCAGCAGCAGGCCGGGCAGCAGGCTGCTGTGGTTGTTGATCTCCTCCACCGCGAAGCGCATGGCCTGCATCAGGTTGTAGCCCAGCACCTTCAGGTCGTACCTGGGGGCCACGGCCAGGTGAGGCGGAGCGGGCCGAGCAAGGAGGGGAGAAGAGCAGAGGGAGAGCCAGCCCTCCTCCCCCCACGAGAAAGCCAAGCCCCAACCAAGAGGAGCCGCTCCGGAAAGTTCTGCACAGTCCTGCCACCATACCATATCCCAGGGTCACTCTTGTCCCTGTGACCCCCACACCGAGATCCCTGTAGCCACCCTCACTAACACTCCGTCACCCACAGACAACTCCATTATCTATTGTCACTATCATCACCCCATACATGTTATGGCCACCATTGTCATCACCACCACCATCGCCACCATCACCACGATCACCATGACCACCACCACCACCATCACCACCATCACCATGACCACCACCACCATCACCATCACCACCATCATCACCACCACCACCATCGCCACCATCACCACCATCACCACCATCATCATCACCACCACCACCATCATCATCACCATCACCACCACCACCACCACCACCACCATCACCACCATCACCACCACCACCACCACCACCACCACCACTGTCACCATCGCTACCACTGTCGCCCTCAGCACCAGCACCAGCCCCACAGTGCCCCTCCACCAGCACCACGGCATCAACAGCATCAGTCTCGACACCCACGCCTGCCACCAGCCTCGCCGTCACTAGACTGCCCTTCACGTCACAGCATCAGAAGACCCAGCTCCTCGCTCGGTGTCATCACCAGCTCCTTCCCTCGCCACTCGGCCCACCCTGTCATCTGGTGCTCTGTCACTGGGGTGCACCTGTGGTCAGCCCTCGGCCGCCTTCCTCCCTGCCCCCCCCTGCCCCCTGGAGCGCTCCCCTTCTGTGACAGGGTCACCATGTCATCCCAGGCTGGCTCCAGCGTCTGGCCTCGTGCTGGCAGGAAGATGTCCCCCCAATGTCCCGGTGGACTGTCATCCCGAGGGGCTCATGGAGGAGGAGCCGAGGAGACCCCCTGCAGCCCTGGAAGCCCCCTGCCCCCTGGAACCGCAGGCCTCTCGTCCACCTGAGAACCCGCTGAGGAGACCACACCTGCCTCCCAAGGGCAGGCCCCGTCTGACCAGCTGGGTGGCCTCCCTGGCCTCCCCCATTGCCAAGATGGGAAGAACGGGTCTCTAGGACCCCTCGAAGCTCCAGTGTCCTGTAACGCCACAGACAGACGTGACATTGGGAGGACCCAGGTCTCAGGGTCACAAAACGCCATCGTCAGAGATTCAGTTATGTGGACTGTGCATGGCCTCCCGGGGCACCTGCAGGCTGGACCCAGACGAGGGGACCCGAGACGAGCCCCCCAAGGCCTCACCCTGGCCCAGCCCTGGCTCCCCACCCAACGCCCGCCACCGCGCCCAGCGTCCCACCAAGACTCACTCCTCGCACTTGGGCACCTGCAGGACGTCGAGATGGGCAGGGCCCTTCATGTTGGCATGGAGGGTGAAGAGGCCCCCCAGCAGGTAGTCCCCAGCCAGATAGAACTCGGAGTTCTCGCTGGTCCGGGTCGGCCCGGCCAGGACCTGCAGCAAGAAGATCAGGGAGGGGAACGTCCTCCCCGGGCGCCCCATGGCCCTGAAGTGACGGTGTCGGGAGGAGGCTCTGCCTCCCTGGGGAGCCGGAGGCTAGACCCAGGACATTTGCACAGACATTTACATAGCGACGGTCCTGCTGCTGACCCTGGGGCACCAGGACAGGTGGGGGGCTTCCAGGGCTCTGGGACAGGAGAGGAGACCAGAACTAGGGAGTCCTTCCTGAGAGCACAGGGTGGCCTGGGAGAGGACCCCATTTGGAGGGAGAAGACCCTATGACCCGGCCACAGCCTCACTCCTGCCACTTGGCTGGGAACAAGTTTCTTGTCCCTGACGTTCAACATTTCAAAGTTAAGGGCCCCGGCACTCCCAGGAGACGGGACAGGTGCCAAAAGACCCCAAGAGCCCAGCCAGACCAGGCCTGGCACAGGACCTGGCCCACGGGGTGCTCCAGTGGCCTCCGTCAGCAAGAGCCAGGCATCAGGACGGCCTGCCGCCCCATCTCCTTCAGTGCCCCCCACAGCCAGGCTGTCCCCACCCCCACTCAGGCGCCGAGGAGCTGGAACTCAGCAGGGCTGGGGCTCGGGCCACGCAGTGTGACTTCATGGCAGGTCACCCGCCTGCCATTCCATGTGACATCACGGGGTTACTGTTCCGGGGCCTCGCTCCTGACAGCCACATGGTCAGCCAGCCCCCCCCCCCCAGCTCTGTGATGAGCCCCTCCGAGTGCCCACCAGGACTTGGATGGAGGAGACGCCACCAGGGCACACAGAAGGCCTGTCCACACGGCCAGGACAGGGCCTGGCAGAGCCTCAGGGGGCAAATCCAACTGCTCAGAGCTGACCCTGGCATTCACCTCTGGTGGGGTCCAGGGTGCTGATGGGAGAGGGGCTCCAAGATACGAAGAGGTGACAGAGACAGGTGACAGGTGACCTCTGTTGAGCTCCTCCTCCTCCAAGACACTGCCCCACACCTGTTCAAGGATCCGCTGGGCAGCAAAGCCCTCACCTGCACGTGACCAGGACCTGTTACCGGCCTCGCCTTGCAACCCGTTCCTGCTGGGAACCCCGAGGCAGCGCGACTCTGACGGCTTTTATTTGACATCAGCCTGGCTGTGTGACCAAAGGCAGGCTGGTTAACCTCTCTGAGGCTCTGTTTCCTCCCCACTGAAATAAGGATCATGACTCATCTCATGGGACGGTGGAGTGGGAATTAAATAAAATAGCATCTGCAAACAGCAGGGAGCAGAGCAGGCCCCGGAGAAAGGGGAGACTGCCAAAGTGCTAGGTTGTCCCTTCTTGTAACAAAACGGACAGCCACCAGGGACACCCCTGGCTCCTTCCCCAGCTGAGTGTCCCTCTGTGCCCCCAAAGTGTCTCAAAGTTGCCCTGAGGAAGTGGGGTGTCTTCAGCAGCTCCAGAGCGGGGGCACCCCCTCCTGGCCAATGTCCTCGAGGTGAGACCGTGGGCATTTGAAATCAGTAGCAGTGGCGGCCGCGCCTGGGACCCCAGCGAGTCGGGAGGCGGAGGCAGGAGGATCGCAAGCTCCAGGCAGCCTGGCCAACCCTCGAGAGCTCGTCTCAAAATGAAAACCAACAGGACCGGGGGCTGGAGCTTGGTGGGTTCAATCCCTGTCCCTGAGAAAAACACAGAAAACCAGCCAGCGAGGCCTGGACTCGGGGTTCCCTGGTGATCTTGGGCCCGTCCTTGACCCAGGGCCCACGTAAACCTGTGCCCCACCAGGGGGAGGGGGACAGTGCTGCCCTCCCCCCACTCGGTGCCCCCTCAAGACAGGTGTTGGAGGAGGGTCGGCTCCTGGCACAGCCACAGGGAGGCGCTGTGACTGCAGCACGTGTCATTTGTGAGGTCACAGGAGCTGGGGGTCCTGGGATGCTCTGGAGCTGAGGACACCAACGATGCAGTGGGCTGGACTGGCCATGACATCAGAGCCAGGGACACACAAGGGACAGACCTCAGGGCCCCTGCAGGGCAGCCCAGGTGGGCAGGCGCCCCGAGTGCATTTCAAGTCAGAGCTGAGGTGGCTGCAGAGASGCTCGCTCCCATCACACAGACAGAGACCAGGTCCAGGGGGCAGGCTGACCTCCCCTGGGTCCACCAGGCCAATCAAAAGTGCCCCTGAGATGGGGTAGGGAGGAGGATGGCACCCGCCAGTTGAGGGCTCCTCAGGGGAGGCCGATCTGTGCCGTGGAGCTTCAGTGTCCAGTGACCGTGATGAGCTCAAGGTGTTTCTATGGTGACACATCTTGAGGGCTCCCCACCTGCCAGCTCCTGTGCTGAGCATGGCTACAGTCTGTCACCTTAGGCTATTCTACCTTTCAAGGTGTGACGACTATCTTCCCATCCTGCAGAAGAGGAGACTGAGGTTCAGAGAGGGGCAGTGACTCGGTCAACGCGACCTTCCAGTTATATGGACTGAAGCTGCCCAAGGCTGTAATGGGACCCTACAGGATCCGYGGGGACTGAGGGGTTCCAATAAAGAGGAACAATGGGTTCCCCTGAGCAGGCTGTCAGCAGAGACAGGTGTTCTCTCTGAGCACTGGATGATGCCCCGCACCTGGCTTCTGGTCCAGCTCTGCCCCCATCCCAGGGCGACAGAGTGGACGTCATCCAGCGTCCTCAGGACACCACGTTGGTGATCGTCGTCCAGTGATGGCCTGCACCCTGAGGTGGACCAACAACCCTCAGAGCCTGGTCCAGGACCGGATGTCCCTGGGCTCACACTGAGCGGCCACTGGTCGCCGTGGTGACAGCCAGCCACGACAGACTTATGTAAAACCTGTGGGGAGGCAGGGAAGGGGAGGGGCGGGCCATGGAAATGACCAGTCCAGAAGGTGCCCATTTGCCTTGGCATCCGCTCCCYGGTGCTGTGGGGAGGACCTGGGCGCAGCGGCCGGAGGGGGCACTTCCTTCCCCCAGGCCCTGGTGGTGGGTGGGGCTGGGCCCAGGGCAAGGCCGCGGCCCCCCACCCTGCCTGTCTTCTCCTACTTGCTTTCCGCCCCTCCTGCCGGTCCCTTCTCCCAGCACACCCTCGGCCAGGCAACGCTGGGCTGTAGGGAGCCCAGAGGAGGGCGGGGGGGGGGGGCGGGACAAGCTGCTCTCCAGCCTGCTGAGGGAGGCCCGCTGGGGAGGCCTGGCCGCAGTTCTCAGAGGGCTCAGCCCCAGCAGTCTCCTCATCCTGCCCCTCAGAGAGCGGAAGGCCAGGCTGGCCCCAGGGCTCCCCTAGGACTTCCCCTGACGGGTGACTGCTGTGGCGTGGACATGGCTCCTCCCGCCTCACCAATCCTGGGTCCCTCGCTACCTCCCTGAGCCTCAGTCTCTCATCTGTAAAATGGGGCTAACATATCTCCACCACGGACCCAGGCTGGCGTGGCCCAAGAAAATCAGTGTGAAGACCTCCCTGCCAGTGGGTTCTCGGCTGCACGCGAATCGCCCCCTTCCTGGCCCGCGTGTTTCTGGGATGCAGACAAGTCCCAGAGGGTGGAATTGCTGGTTTTCGCTCATCGAGTGCCCTCATGCAAAATCTGTGGGGAGGGACTTCATTTTTAGACTTTTCATTCCCTCCTCAGCTTCCTGAGAACGTCAGCCTGGAGCTGGGAGGCCAGGGCACAGGGAAGAGGGTCAAGGCCAAGGATCCTGTCCCAAGCCTGGCTGGCTCTGGGGCTGGCTAGGCAAAGTGCTCGTCAACTGGGGATGTGGGATGAAGCCAGGCTGGTCATTCCCTCCTGGTGACCCGTTCCCCTGCAGGGTGTCAATGTCCCCATCTGTAAAATGGAAACACCGGAGCTCCCTGGGTCTGTGCAGAGGAGGAGACGTGGTGTCTGAGGCACTGGGCTCGATGCCCGGGCATGGCGCGTCCAGCTCCGTACAGCCTCTAAGCAGAGCCCAGGTCCGCTGGGSAAGGCCAGGGCCCGCAGAGGGGCCGGGCCTGCACCTGACTTCCTCTGCCCACCCCCGCTGAAGCTCGGGCCAGACCYATGGCCTGGAGCTGGCCCAGGTGGCCACTCATTTCCTTAGAGGGCACGCACCACTGGAAGCCCGTGGGACAGCGGTGGCAKGGACGTCCGGCCTCAGTCAAATGGTTCCACTTCAACCCAGGCTGCGGCTGGGCCCCTGGCCACAGCAGGGAAATGAAGGACTCCTTGGGTGACTGCGGACATGGGGACTTACGGTGGTGGCCATGCAAAGAGGCCCGAGTTCCCCAGGCAGGGAGCAGCCGCTGGGCCTCGAAGGCCACCAGCCCCAAGCTCAGGGTGGGGGAGGGCCACGGGAACAGAGTGAGTGGCGRTTTTGTCACCCCTTGGCCCAGCTAAAAGGACATGGAGGTGGGGGAGGGGGGATACAGTGGCCCCGGCAGAGCATGCGGGAGCCAGGGGCCTGTGGGAGCAGGGGGCCAGGCAGCAGGAGCCGCGGGCCCAGCCTGGGTTCAAGCCACTTCCACTAACCAGTCACTTGACCTTGGCCAGTTCCTCCTCCTCTGACCTCCACCAACCCTGCCGCAAAAGCTGAGAGTGGCCGACCTGGTGAGGTCGCCATGGAGGCTACACGAGCTGGGGGTGCCACTCAGGGGCAGAGCGCTGGCCTAGCACRAGGCCCAGGTTCGTCCCCAGCACCACACGGAGGTCAAGACCCAGCCAGCTCTGCACCGAGTGACCTGGGCAAGTCACRTGTGGCCCTGGATCCTGAAATGCCAGCCTTCCCCTCCGTCTGCTGGGGTCAGGTACCGTCCTGTCCCGGGGCACACCCTCGCGTGGGCTCCCTGTCTGGAGGCAAGCCCCGTCTCACACCAATCAGCGGTGGCCACGAGGAGTCGGGATGGGCCCCCCGCCTCCCCAGCTCTGAGACCCTCCATGCCGACGGTCCTGTGGGGACTATGGAGGGAGCGTGGGCTAGAAACAGCCCTCCTCTGCTACCTGAAGGTGGAGACGGGCCAGGACACGTCCCTCCAGAGGTCAGCTGGCCTGGGCCTGACCGGGCTCCAGCCAACGGGCCGTGGGTGCTCCCCTGCGAGCCATCGGCCGA